CCCCAAAACCCCAAAACCCCTTAGAAACTAATTATGCTTGAATCATGAAAATTAATGTTTCTTTAATTTATTATTATTAAATCATCTAATTGGAATGATTCCCCCTTTTCTTGCACCCTAAAAGTTTTAATGCAAAATTAAGTTACCTAACTTGACGAAGCGTTTCTAATATTACTCATATCTAATTTGACATTTTTTTGTTCACTTGGCGTAAATCTTGAGTGTGTTGTGAAAGGTTTAGGCGTCACAGATTTAAAAGCGTTCAATTTATTTGATCTACTCTATAACTTATTCTCCAAATGCTTAATCACTTTTTCCTAGTCATCAATATCTAAATCTTTCTGTGTTTCAAGTTCTTCAACATCCATAGTTTTCCTATCGAAGTATCTCTACGTCTCAAGCTGCTGTTTAGCTTTGGTCAATTAAGTTTCATCTAACTTTTCATATCTCTTAATTTCATCTAATTTTTCTAAATAGCCTAGCTAGAAATCCTTTGGAGCATTTTTAGGAGGTTCGTCTATTTTAGCTCTTAGCATAGCAAGTTCTATAAGATTCCAGTTTCTTTTATCAACTGGTATCTCCCCAGCATTCAGATATTCAGGGAATGTTTTTTCTTTAGAGCAATTGCGATTAGAGTAATAGCCACCTAATATCCCTATTAAAATAGCAGCAATTATGCTAAATGGTATTGCAACAGCCGGAGTTAGTATCTCATCTGTATAATCAGCATTAGTATAACTACTTAAATACTTAAGATAACCATCTGTGGTTTGAATTTGATAAGATAAATTGAACTCTGGGGGATAAACTTTGCTTATAGTATCAGGATGAACTGCAATAAATATTTTATTGTTTTAAAAGTCTCCTATTTTGAGAATAAACGAATAAATTGTTCTAGTCTGAGCTGTTATTTTTTAAGTCAAAAGATTCAAAGAAGTTCCGTTGCTTAGGTAAATATCGCATGCAAACATATATTAAACCTAAATCTCGATATATTTATTTCTTGTTTCATATGTTAATAAACCTGTAATCTCATATATACATGGTGTTTCTAGATCGTAATAAAAGCCCTTAGCCCTTAAAAATTATTTCTCAGTAGTAGCAACATAACTAGTTGCTCCGCATAATGTTAAATTTTGAGTACAGTAGTCTATTTGCATTTCAGCTAAACTTAAATCAGAGCTGCAAGATCTATTTAATGAAGTGCTGGTTTAACAAAGCAAGTTTTATTTATTTGTTTTTTAATTGGAATTGCAACAATAAGCAGTGTTTAACTTTAAATCTACACAATAATAAGCGTTTACATACTTTGCAAGACAACCAGAGAAGCATTAAGTAGTTTAAATCTAGCTTGTAGCCAAATATGCTGGATTTCCCTTTCCTTAGACAATTACTGAGAATGTAATTGCTAATAATAAGTATCATAGAAAAGATGCTTGAGAACAAATAATGATGCTAAGTTGTTTTAATTTTAAAAATAACTCCATTAAATTTATAATTAAAAATATTAATCACAATAGCAAACTTATTCAATTCTAAATATAGATTTTCAATGGCCTATAGGAATAACTGATCCTTTCTTTAGCTAAAAATGCAAGATTAACAAATTTTATGAAATACATTGTTACTAATTGTTGTATCTGTTTTGCTATTCATTAAATTGCCAGATGTAAAGTTGCTATCACCAAATTAAGTTGTACTCTGAAGGTTATCTCTGTACGTTTCATAATCTTAGTTTTTAACCAGTCCTTTAGAATTTTTATGAGCTTCTCTTTCTTGTTTTGGATAAAAGTCCTTGTTAGGCTCCCAAGGCTTGTATTTTGGTACCCCTAATTTGCAAACCCATTTAGCAATCACGCAGGAAACTGATAATGCAATCACGCAAAGGCCTACTCCTAAAAGTCCAACTTGCCAAGGCTCTATTCCTATATTCACAGAAGCCTAGACATCATCATCTCTCCCAACTTCATAAGAAAAGAGTAAGTCGGGGTCATAAATATTCTGGTTATCTGGATTAGCTACAATCCAAATAGTAGTTAAAATGTTATCATCGTAGATTGGAAATTTGTAATAGTATCCAGTTTATCCCACAACTACATTATTTGCAACACCCAGGGCACTTCCTGTATAAATCCTAACAGCAGTTGCAAAAGCAAAATGAATGGTTATTTTGTAAAAATCAGAACTTGAAATTGAGTTATTAGTTGTGATTTTCCAATAGCAGGGCCGATTAAAATTATATCTAAATCCTGTAGCTCTAATAGTCTAATCATAATAAGCAGCATAAATAGTGGTGCCAGAAGAATTGCAGAATGTACTTCTTAGACAATAAGCATAGGAAATATTTTAATTCGCAGCACCTTTAGAACAAAATGTGCCATTTGTTGTGCATATTGAATCAACTTGTGTTAAGTCGCAGCAGTATCCCACTCCATTATAATTACAGTAAGATTTTGTAGATAGGTCATTATCAGAGGCAAAGCAAGAGGTGAAGCAATTATTTGTTTTAACTTATGCTGATTTGATAAATGTTAATGAAAGAACTAAAAGCAGGAGCCTTAATTTGATTTTTGCTTTCATTTTATTATACATTCGCTTTATTAAATTAATTTGCTCAGAAATTCTATAATTCTATGTGGTGGGGTTTTGGGGTTTTGGGG